AAAAACAACACCCCCCCCCACAAAAAATACAACAAAAAATAAACAAGAAAAAACCCCAAACCCAACAACAAAACATTTAAAGACGGTATGAAATTAAAAAGTTTAACGTTTTGCCGTAATTGTTTTCGTCTAGAACGTGATTGAAAATAGATAAACAGCCCTGTTGAAACTATGTGCATGTACATGTAGGCCTATAAAGCGTTCAGTTTTTGCATGTTGCGCAATGGTGCTTGTGGGAAAAATATAGCGGAAAGGCTATAGAAAGAGAAAAGATATAGATCTAGCAGTAGTGGTATCAATATGTACACGTACTTCTGTCTTATTGTTAGACCAATGATACTGATTGATAGTTGGTGTGATTTGCTCCTTTTCTCCTATCAAACATCTATCGTCCTTATCTCCCCTTCTTCTTTTTATGTTTGTTACTCTCTTGTAACACCTCTAAATCTTCTGGCGCTCATATGGCCTTATGAAGTTGTGAGCACCGTAAAATCTCTACTAAAACTAAAACTGAAAGTTATTATTGTTATTATAATAGTAATAAGTAGTAGTAATAGTAGCATTAGCAGCAGGATACATCCACCAGTGGAAATTAAGTTTTAAATGCTCAACATATAGGGAACTCACCATCATCGTCATCGTCATGTCTTCTTTCCCGTGCATCATCTCATAAAAAGTGTATTTATTTACATATTATATATGATTTTGTTTGGTCCCTTTCCTCAGACACCGCCTATTTACAGAACAGAGAGAAAGGCAAGCCGTACTTCGTATGTGCGATACAGCGCTTCAATTTGGTACGTGTTACAGAGCTGATGGTTATTTATAGTAACTATTTTTTGGGGTGTAAATTATCATTTTTGTGTATTAAAAGAGGGCTGGGCCGGAGGGGGGGAGGAGGGGAGAAAAACAGCAACAACCAAATAAACAAAACAAAATCTCTTTGTACTGTTTGTTTATTGAAGGGATGGGTTTTCACTCGTAAAAGTTTGTTAAGTATTAAGGGCTCACTGCCTCGTTCAACATGGTGTATTGTTATTTACTTCTTTGAAGTTGAAGACACACATTCTGATCGCTGGGCGACGCTTGAATAAAGGCTGTCTTGGGACACTAAAAATGAAAGCGTATTCTTCACTTATTATTTTCTCTATGTGAAGCATAAACAGACAGGCAATGAAAGATTCAAATATTTCTAATATTCTAAGTGTGACAATTCGAACTGTGCCTCTGGTCTGCTGGTGATCGAATATGTATTGTATGTCCGTTACGCTTACAGAGCTTGCTGTTGAGCCTGAATTTGCGCTGTGCAAAGAAAGCCCCAAAGCTGTTTATCATTTTCTGTTTGCCCGTTGGACTTTTTGCAAGCAATAGTTGACAGGAAATGAGGCGATGTGTCTATCTTTACTCAGTGTATTGATGGGAGACAAACCTGTCATTTTGTTGTTTTGTAATTCAAGAGGCCGGTCTGTCTGGGAAAAGTAAGTATGGCATGGATGGAATGGACTATTGTTGAACTCTAAGGGGAAGTGTGTGCTCGCGCGCGTGTGTGTGTGTGTGTTTGTCTGTGTGCCTGTTTGTTTACGTGTGTGTGCGTGTATATGTGTTTCTGTGTGTGTGTGTGTGTGTGTGTGTGTGTATGCGTGTGTGTGTGTGTATGCGTGTGTGTGTGTGTGTGTGT